CTTGACAGCTGTGCCTGGAGATGTCCCTACGCATCTATGCTGCTTGACAGGGAGGGTGGAGAGGCTCTGGGCCCCTCCGGGTGCCCCCATATACATCCAGTGTTCCCCGAATGTCACTCCCAGCCCCATCCCTTTGAAGACTTCCCTGGGCTCTGAGCATCAAGGCTCTGAAAGTGTCTGTGCTCTGTCCTGCCCTTCCCCTCCAGCCCCGCCTCCTTCCCGGGTCCCCTCACTCACCTGTCCATGCTCTGCTCTCTTCCCATCGGGCCCTTGCATAATCCCTGCTCTCCACCCGGGCTGCCCCCATCCCCTCCTCACCTTTTACCCCTCCAAAATACCAGCTCAAGCATCACCTCCTCCGGAATGCTCATCTCGGCCTCCCGGATCAATCACTTCACCCTGACACCCCCATGAACCTTTTTTTGCAGCCTTCCTCACAGCTGTTGTGTCTGCTTGCCACGTCACTCTCCCCGCAATGGGACTCGGAAGCCTACAGGACCTCTGTTCCCACTGGATTCCCAAACACCTTGCTCAGTGTTTGGCAGATGGTCCCCAACTCAACAGGAAGGAAGGAAGAGCAGGAGGGAGAGAGGGACGGAGGGACCCATTAATTTGTTCTGACCGACCAGGCAGCTGATGCAGCTCGCTGCCCTGTGCCTACCCCAGCTGGGAGGCAGAAACCAACCTGACCTTGATGATGATGAAAACACCATGAGTATCTGGGGCTTTGGGCTCTTTAACCAAGTGATCATTTGTCTTCCTCTCAAAAATGTTATTCCTTGAAGGTGGGAACAGCTAATACCTCTCGCTTGAAAGGAAGTGTTCCTTGGGTAGCCTGCCTCCAGCGGGGGTGGCTAGGACCTGCCATCTGGCTTACCTTTCAGAGCATTTGCTCTCTTTCCCACACCTACCAGTCCTGCTTCCCATGTGCCCCGAGCTGCAGGATTTCCTGGGGAGCGTGTGCCCCTAAAGGCCAGCATCAGGGAAGAGGTTTATGAGAAAGGCAGGGACCAACTTTTGGAGTCAGCTTCCCTAAACATGGATGGCTGAGCTCCTGGCATTGGCTGGGGGGTGGAAAGGGGTTGGGGGGAGGGGCAGAGGGAAGCGAGGGAAGGGGGGCAATGGAGAAGAAGGAAAGTTTAAGATGTCCTTCCCTGAAGAGGGTGGAGAAGCTGGTTCCTGCTCAGCCTTGCCGTTCTAGCCGGGTGCTTGCAAAGGGCTCTGGGGAGTGAGTCACCTCCGATAAACCCAGGCAGGAGGGACTTTGATAAGATAGAAGGAAGGGTGTTTACACAGGGCCCTTCAATACCGGGCGGGTCCACTGATGTAGAGGCCAAAGAACATCCTTTGGAAAAGTAGACGAACTCAGGAAGCAGAGGGAAGGCAGAGTAACCGGCTGCTCCAGCTTCCACTTTCCTGAGCTTATTTTCAAGGGCTCTGAGTAGCCCCACTAGAGAAAACTGTCTTGACGTATAATGCAAATCAAAGGCACTCTCTGGCTGGATGACTCTGAGTAAATCATATTACTTCTCTACTTGAGAACCTGCCTTGAAGCCAGTTCAGATGATTGATCGAGGTCCTTTCACTCTAATAAATATTTATGGAATTCATTAATGTCTCCTCTACCATGAACTTGAGTTTGAGTCTTTGTTCTAGCATTGGCTGACTTTCCACCTCTACGAAACAAAGCTGGTGCATCAGGTTTGGTTGTTGTGTGGGTCTCCAGCCCAACGCTCAGTTCCTGGAAGCTGGCTAGATGTTCATCACTGCCCACCCTTTCCCTCACTGTCCCTCATCTTCCAAAGAGTGTGAGATGGCTGTTGTGAGTATTTAGAGACTGATACATTGCCTTTTGATGCTGTTAAAGCACTGCACTCATTATGACAGCAAATTTGGAAAACTCAACAGTGGCCACAGGACTGGAAAAGGGTAGTTTTCATTCCAATCCCAAAGAAAAGCAATGTCAAAGACTGTTCAAATTATCATACAATTGCACTTATTTCATATGCCAGCAAGATTTTGCTCAAAATCTTTCAAACTAGGCTTCGGCAGTACATGAACCAAGAATTTCCAGATGTACAAGCTAGATTTAGAAAAGGCAGAAGAACCAAAGATCAAATTGCCAACATCCATTGGGTCGTAGAAAAAGCAAGGGAAATTTAAAAAAAACATCTACTTCTGCTTCACTGACCTTGCTAAAGCCTTTGACTATGTGGATCACAACAAACTGTGGAATATTCTTAAAGGGATTGGACCACTTTACCTGCCTCCTGAGAAACCTGTATGGAGGACAAGAAGCAACAGGTAGAACCCAACATGGAACAATGGACTGGTTCAAAATTGGGAAAGGAGTGCTTCAAGGCTGTATATTGTCACCTGCTTACTTAATTTATATGCAGAGTACATTATGCAAAATGCTGGGCTAGATGAATCACAAGCTGGAATCAAGATTGCTGGGAGAAACACCAACAATCTCAGATACACAGATGATACCACTTTAATGGCAGAAAGGGAAGAGGAACTAAGGAGCCTCCTGATGAAAGTGAAAGAGAAGAGTGAAAAACCTGGCTTAAAACTCAACATTCAAAAAACTAAGATTGTGGCATCTGGTTCTATCAGTTCAGTTCAGTCGCTCAGTCATGGCCAACTCTTTGTGACTGCATGAACCGCAGCATGCCAGGCCTCCTTGTCCATCACCAACTCCTGGAGTTCACCCTGTCACTTCATGGCAAATAAATGGGGAAAATATGGAAACAGTGTCAGATTTCATTTTCTTGGGCTCCAAAATCACTGCAGATGGTGACCATAGCCACAAAATTAAAAAAGGGTTGCTCCTTGGAAGAACAGCTATGTCAAACCTAAACAGTGTTTTAAAAAGCACAGACATCACTTTGCCAGCAAAGGTCCATATAGTCAAAGCTATGGTTTTTCAAGTAGTCATGTATGCATGTGAGAGTTGGACCATAAAGAAGGTTGAACACTGAAGAATTGACACTTTTGAAATGTGGTGCTAGATAAGACTCTTGAGAATCCTTTGGACAGCAAGGAGATCAAACCAGTCAATCCTAAAGGAAACCAACCCTGAATATTCACTGGGAGGACTGATGCTGAAGTTGACGCTCCAATAATTTGGCCAACTGATGCAAAGAGCTGACTCATTGAAAAAAAACCCTGAGGCTGGGAAAAATTGGGGGCAAGAGGAGAAGCAGGCAGCAGAGGATGAGATGGTTGGATGGTTTCACTCACTCAATGCACATGAGTTTGAGCAAACTCAGGGAGATAGCGATGGACAGAGAAGCCTGGCATGCTGCAGTTCATGGGGTTGCAAAGAGTTGGACACAACTTAGCCACTGAACAGCAAGAACAATATTACCCTTCAGGTTTCCCAGGTGGCTCAGTGGTAAAGAATCCACCTGCCAATGCAGGAGATGCAGGTTCAGGAAGATCCCCTGGAGGAGGAAATGGCAACCCACTCCAGTACTCTTGCCTGGAGAATCCCATGGACTCAGGAGCCTGGTGGGCTATAGCCCACGGGGTCACAAAGAGTTGGTCATGACTTAGGGCTGAGCACAGACATACATGCACATTGCCGTTCTGAAGGGAAAGTCTGGGCTTATTAGGAATGATCTAGGAAGCCAGAGATTTCATTCTCTTTTCCTACAGTTACTGGGCCCAGGGTGCTCAACCTCTGAGCCTCAGAAGGCTTCCAGGTGAAACCCTGTTTCAGAAAAATCTTCAAGAAGAGGCAGAGGGACTAGGGAGCCGGTGTGAGTAGAGGAAAGGGAAACAGAGGGTGGGAGTGCCCTGCTCACAGGTCAGCCCTACAGAGGATCACAAAGTCCAAAAACCCACCGCCAAGACTGAAAGGGCTCCTAGGAGTGACCTGGTCCCAAGAAGCATTCACAAAGGTGAGGTGACCCACTCAGGGTCATCCAGAGAGCAGCTGGAGCTCAGACAAGAGCCCAGTACTTCTGCCAGCCAGAAAGAGGTTGCCTTTAGACCTTCTTCATCCACTGGAAATTCTTCCTGAATCTTAGGGTGCTGCTCATTCCCACCAAGGGTTAACAGGGAATTGAGGTCTAAAGTCCGGTTGGTTGGAGCTAACTTTCTGAGCAGTCATTTCCTGTGAGCTTACGAGCTTACACACACACACACTACAGCAAAATGTAATATTTGGTCAACAGTGAAGAATGTCTTAGCAATCATGAAAGGTCATTTGTAACTCATAATATTTGATTAGTTTATTTGTTTTTACTATTAGCCAAAGATAATAATTCATCCATCGACCTCTTGAGACTTAACCATTGTGTCAAAGGTCTCACTGAGTTGCCCATAGATACTGTGATCAGAGGGATTCCCTGGTGTCTCAGATGGTAAAGAGTCTGCCCACAACGCGGGAGGCCTGAGTTCGATCCCTGGGTCTGGAAGGTCCCCTGGAGAAGGAAATGGCAACCCGCTCCAGTATTCTTGCCTGGAAAATCCCATGGATGGAAGAGCCTGGCAGGCTACAGTCCATAGGGTCGCAAAGAGTCAGACACGATTGAGCGACTGCACTTTCGCTTTCACTGTGATCACAAGGAGCAGTACTGTCACTCAGGTCCGAGCGTGTGGTAACCCAGACATCTGCACCCCTGCCTCCCTGCAAAGGCCCAGAGAGGGGCCATCTCTGGTGATGGACTAGCAGAGACAGGCGTAATTATCCCAAGAATGGCCTGCAACAAGCCACTGCCCAGTTAAAACGGTGGAGGAAGCAGAGTCAGGCTGGGAGGAGTTCCGTTTTTTCATCAGAGACTAGGGAAGGACTTGTAAAGAGTTCTTCACCCCCTGGAGTGGAAGCAGGACCATCTGGGTTCTCCCAGGCCCATGTTTCTACATAAGTAAATATAAAAACTACTTTTGTTGGGTCCTGATGAATAGGATGTAGTCTCCGTGGAAACAACCTCTAGGCCAGGGCAAGAGAAAGGTTGCCATTATCCCCTCCTAAGAGTAGCAACACTAACCTTGACTTCCAAGACCACAAGTGGTGCCCAGGGCAAGGGGTGACAAGGAGATGAAGATCCGGAGGCGGTGGTGTGGGTGACCACCGCTAGCAGGAGGGACGAGCTTCAGGTAGGTGGCACAGTCCAGCAGAAGTAACTGAGTGTCGAGAGTGACGTTCCGTTGGAAAATGTACAAGTCTCCTTCCGTGAAGACTGGGTAGCCAACAGACCTCAAGGGAAATGGAGCAGGGCAGAGAGGCAGCAGGCATGGGCCAAACCGTAACCTTACAGGGACTCCTCGCAGAATATACGGTGTCGGAGTTAAGAGCACAACCCAGGAGTAAGGCAGCCTAGGTTTGAATCCCAACTCCTCCACTTCCTCGATAGGTAACAGGCAGGTGTCCTGAACATTAGTTTTTGCAGCTGAGAAAAGTTGGGATAATAATACCCATGCAATATTGTTGATGAAGTGACATCACACACATGAGGCACTTTTAGTGTCTGGCACATTAGACTAAGTGATTATATTATTTACCTATTGCTGTATAACAAATTACTTTTAGGCTTAGTGGCTTAAGACAACAAACTTCATCTCCCAGCTTCTGCAGCTCAGCAACCTGGGCACAGCTTAGCCGGATCCACCTACCTCAAGGACGCTCGAGGGATGCCTTCAAGCAGTTGATCAGGATGTCCCTGAAAGCTTGACTGGAGGTGGGAGGGGACCTTCCATGCAAGTCCACTGCATGGTTGCTGGCAGGTCTCAGCCCACTACAACTCACAACACTATGCTGGCTTTCTTCAGGGCATACAATCCAAGAGAAAGGAAGAGCAGGAGAGAGGGCCCAAGAAAGAAGCCACAGTCCTTTTATAACTAATCTCAGAAAGGAACCCATGGTGGCTCAGCTGGTAAAGAATCCACCTGCCTTCTTTCGATCTGAGTTCAATCCCTGGGTTGGGAAGATCTCCTGGAGCAGGGACAGGTTACCCACTCCAGTATTCTTGGGCTTCCCTGGTGCTCAGCTAGTAAAGAATCCGCCCGGCCCTGGAGAAGTGAAAGGCTACCCACTCCAGTGTTCTGGCCTGGAGAATTCCATGGGGTTGCAAAGAGCTGGACATGACTGAGAGACTTTCACATTTTATGCATTAGAAGTGAGTCAGTAAATCCAGCCCACATTCCAGGAGAGAGAGTACACAGAGTGTAAAGATTCGGAGGCAGGAATCATTGGGGGCCATTTGAGAGAATGCTTACTAGAGCATCGTCAATGTTACCTGTTTTTATTATTCCTTTTATGTATTTTATTCCCCACATTATTTTCAATTAATGCCACTATAGGTTTCCAGTTCTGTCTTTTACTGTTCTGTTCTTACTGCCAGGAATGCCTGCTTCAAAATACTTATTTATTTACAAAGTATTTGAATTTTTCATTGAGTTATAGTTGATTAACAATATTATATTAGTTTCAGGTGTGCAACATAGTGTTCAATATTTTTATAGATTATATTATATTTAAAGTTATAATAAATTATTGGTTATGTTCCCTGTGCTGTGTAATATATTCTTGCAGCTTGTTTATTTTACACATAGTTGCTTGTACCTGTTAATCCCCTACTCTTATCTTACCTTTCCCCCTTCCCTCTTCCCATTAAGAACCACTAGTTTGTTCTGTTTATCTGTGAGTCTGTTTCTATGTTGTTATATTCGTTTGCTTCATTTTTAGATTCCACATATAAGTGATATCATACAATATTTGTCTTTCTCCATCTGACATATTTCACTAAATATAATACCCTCCCAGGTCCATCCATGTTGTTGAAAATGGAAGAATTTTATTCTCTTTTATGGCTAGGTAGAGTGTTCCCATATATATATTTATATATATTGTCTTACAGTTGCTCAGTCTTGTCTGACTCTTTGCGACCCCATGGACCGCAGCACACCAGGCTCCTCTGTCCTCCACTATCTCCCAGAGTTTGCTCAAGTTCATGTCCATTGAGTCAGCAGTGCTATCTAGCCATCTTATCTTCTACTGCCACCTTTCCTTTTGCCTTCAGTCTTTCTCAGCAACAGGGTATTTTCCAATGAGTCAGTTCTTCATATCAGATGGCCAGAGTATTGGAGCTTCAGCTTCAGCATCAGTCCTTCCAATGAATATTCAGGGTTGATTTCCTTTAGAATTGACTGGTTTGATCTCTTTGCTGTCCAAGGGACTTTCAAGAGTTCTCCAGCACCACAATTCGAAAGCACCAATTCTTCGATGCTCAGCCTTCTTTATGGTTCATCGCTTACATCCGTATGTGACTACTGGAAAAATCATAGCTTTGACTATACGGATCTTTGTCGACAAAGTAATATCTCTGCTTTCTCATATGCCACATAGGTTTGTCACAGCTTTCCTTTGAAGGAGCAAGCATCTTTTAATTTCATACCTGCAGTCACTGTCAGCAGTGATTTTGGAGTCCAAGAAAATAATCTCTCTCACCACTTCCACTTTTCCCCTTCTGTGTGCATGAAGTGATGGAATCGGATGCCATTTTACTTTTTTGAATATATATACATGTGTGTGTGTGTGTGTGTGTGTTGAATATATATGTGTGTGTGTGTGTGTGTGTATATATACGTATATATATGTATATCTGTTGATGGATACTTAGGTTGCTTCCATATCTTATCTATTATAAATAATGCTGCTATGAACATTGAATGTATCTTTTCAAATTAGTGTTTTTATTTTCTTTGAATATATACCCAGGAGTGAAATTGCTGATCATCTGGTAGTTCTATTATGAGTTTTTTGAGGAAACTCCATACTGTTTTTCGTTGTGGCTATACCAATTTACATTCCCCAGTGTACTAGGGTTCCCTGTTCTCCACATCCTTGCCAACATTTGTTGTGGTCTTTTTGATGATAGACATTCCGACAGGAATGAGGTGATATCTTGTTGTGGTTTTGATTTTCATTTCCCTGCTGATTAGCAACGTTGAGCATTTTTTATATGCTTGCTGGCCATCTATGTCTTCTTTGAAAAAATGTCCCTTCAGGTGTTCTGCCCACTTTTTACTTGGGTTGTTTTTTTTTTTTAATTGAGTAGTATGAGCTGTTTATATATTTTGGATATTAACCCCTTATCGGTCATATTGTTTGTAAATATTTTCTTCCATTCACTAGGTTGTCTTTTTTGTTTTGCTGTTGATTTTCTTTACTGTGTGAAAGCTTTTAAGCTGAATTAGATCTCATTCATTTATTTTTTGGTTTTGTTCCCTTTGCCTTAAGAGATAGAGCCACAAAAACATTGCTTACAATTTATGTTCTGCCTATGTGCTTCCAAATATATACACTGTCCGATCCTACTCATCTTTTAAGGCTAAACTCAAAAACCACATCCATGAAACCTTGGCAAATCACCCCCTTATAGGAAGTAATCATTTCCTTCTGTGAACTCCCAGGGAGACGTGAATAAGGGAAAGGATGGCTACTGTGAGCTCAAGAAGATAAATCAATGACACTTAGATGAGTAGAAGCCAAGTAACTCAAAATACATTTCATGTAGTTTTTCTCTCAAAAACAGGCTAGTGAGTTTGGCTTCCTGGGTCAATGAGGGAATCAGCTCTATTACACTATTATAGAAACAGCTTTGATATTTCTGCTTGTCCTGGGATGTCTGAGCACCTACCCATTTGCTGACCTTTAGGACTAGTTTTCTCTAATAAAGGTGATACTGGTCCTAAAATGAAGGCTCCTCTGAAGGGTAGGCTTCAACACTTCTCTACGACACAGAGTCCAATGCCCCACATAGGGATAAATGGTTCGGAAGAGAAATCGAACTGTGGTAACTTGTTCTTCTATGAATGCTCTTGTGGGCTTGAAAATTCCATTTCCAACAAGTCTCTGTTAGGCCTAAACAGAGCCCTATTTCACACTATAATGGGTCCATGTGCGCTAAGTCACTCAGTCGTGTCTGACTTTTTGCCACCCTATGCACTATAGCCCGCCAGACTCCTCTGTGCATGGGATTCTCCATACTGGAGTGGGGTGCCATGCTCTCCTCCAGGGGATCTTCCCAACCCTGGGATCGAACCCATGTCTCTTACATCTCCTGCAATGGCAGTCGGGTTCTTTACCATTAGTGCCACCTGGGAAACCCATAATGAGTCCAGGTATGCCAAAGGAATGAACTGCCACGTAAACTGCCACGGGATTTCCAAGGTGGCTGGGGATGGCTGAAGAAGAGAAAAAGTGAAGTGAGTGTGCCTGATATGGAGTCATGGAGCCAAATGGAGTCAACTCAGCCTCAGCTGAGTAAAAGGACACTTGGTCACGTCAGGAGAAGAGAAGGAAATTCACATCTGTTACCCTCCTGCAGTGTGTCGGACTGAACACTCAATATCCACAGTCCTATTGAATCCTCAGGAAATCCTGGTGAGGAAAAGCATATTTTCCTCATTTTACAGATAAGAAAACTGAGGTCCAGTGAGGTAAACTGGCCTCCCCAGGGTCACCCCACCAGTGGAACACAGGACTGCTTGATTCAACATCTGGGTTCCTTCCATGATGCCCTCTTATAAAGGACTGTAGAAACAACGGGATAAGCAGAGTTCTAAGACAAGCTAACTAAAGCAACTCCAAAAATAGGTATTACAGACCAAGCAAGAAGTTTCATTTAGTTCTCCAAGTTCTCAAATTAAGTTTCAGCAAGGCTTCCCTTATTGGACCTGAGTTGTAAGATCAGCACATTTTCTAGAGTGACAACTTGGGGAAGGGGGTGGGAAAGAATGTTTGGGACAATGAATAAGAACCCCCCCACCATGTCTTGCCCCCCATTACCACCTTGCCTTTTTCAGAAGATGAGTATTAAAAGTGATGACACACCAGAAAGTTTACAGGATGGGAAACCTAACTCAAAACTTCAGTTTCAATTCTATGTGAACCATCAGCTCACTCTCTTTACTGTTTCCATCTGGCTTTCTGGTCTTTCATGATTGGGTCTGCTTTCCTGTCCTGAAGGAAATAACTCCCGAAAGGAAGTAGAAGGCTCACATCAAGGGAAGATACTGGACTGAACGAAAGCTGCAGGGGAAGAAGATGAGCCCTGAACTGTTGGTGCCAACTCCTTCCTCTCATGTCAACTTGATGAAGTAGGTTGGGTTAAACTGCTGTTGAGTCTTGTTGGGGGTATGTGGTTATGGACATGGAGAGAAGAGAGGAGTTAGGTGGTTATGGAGGGAAGAGCTCCCTCAAAACAATATGGCAGCATAGTTCCCTTGATCTCAACAAATACTCTGTAAGGACAAACTCTCAGCCATGCGCTGAGCAATTAGGTGTGGTGAAACTCAGTGGGGACAGACACAGAATCTGCCCTCAAAAAATCTAGGATTCTGTAAGGGAAATACAAAGTGCACACAGAGCTGAAAAATAAGACAGCAT